GTCTATGGATTATCAGGAAAATTGTTTTAGGAGGTGAAAGGAGAGTGGGTAAAGAGCATGGGTTCAACATAAAGTGCTTATCAAAGCTTGTCAGGGTTGACAGACTTATTGCATTACCTGTGTTGGGTTGTTTGGGGGCACTGGACAACTTCTGAAATCCAAGCCGGCGGTGCAACTCATCTGGGCTACTATTTGGGCTACTGTTGACAACTCTGTACTCCTGCGATAACGTCATCCCAAGCTGCTTCTGGGCAAAGCTCAGGGCCAGCATATAGACCTGGTTAATCTCTGCTTTGTTCTCCCTACTTTCCTGCAGCAACACAGGATTTAATGCCACATCCAGCACAGTATACCAGCCTGTAAAGGAAAAAGTATGACTTTCTTGCTTGTGCCATGTAATACAAATGGCAGGTCTGCAGCTTGACACACACCTTGATCTTCATTTGTGCCTGTTTCCAGTTTTCCAGTGTACACTGGTAAAGGCCTGCTAGAATCCTGAGGCGCAGGCACACGTTTCCAGCCGCATATGTTGATGTACAGCAGGCCTTTCTTTGGTTTCTGTCACAGAAACAGTGCTGTCAAAAGGATCTGTCAAAACAAACTCAATTTCAAAGTTCTGAGTGAAGAAAAAGCCTGTGTTTCTCGTGCAGCCTGTGTATTTTAGGATATATAAAGCAAGCACAGCTTACAGCTCCTCAGCAGAAATATTTTTAGGTTATTACTTGGTTGGATTAAAAACAAGAAATTTGATGACAAAGCTTTCACAGCTTGTAATGGACTATACTAATTAATAGGACTAGAAGTTATAATCCCTATCAGTATAACACAGACCTGAGTGGGTTGGAGAAGCCCTCTAGATAGGGTGTTTGCCGCTGACCATATGGGTACGTATCTATCAGTGCGACACATCATCAGCTTTGTACCCCAGCTTCATAGTGCATTTCCGTAATTTCTCACAAGATCCCCTCAGCCAAAGCAGACCCACCACAGGGTGATCAGACCTGGGTGTATTTCACATGGCACCCACCAGTAATTTGGCAGGCCACACTGTCTCCTTCTGCTTCAGCCAGCCCCTGTGACTACTTTCTTTTGGCAAGAGTGGCAAGCTTTTTGATTAACTTGTACTAAGCTTCCCTACCTGATGCCTACTTCCTTCGTCAGTCTTACTGTGGAGCTGACTGCAAAGCCCCTACAGGCCACTTACACTGAATGGACTTTCACTTTCCAGCCTTGGTCCTCTTCCTCAGCTTGCTCACGCTTTCTTCTTGTCATATGCCTTATTGATTGCATCCTTCCAAGGGACAATCAGTTCTACAGTGAAGACAGACTGGCAGGAACTGGACCAGAGAACCAGACCTGGGTGCAGGTTGATTTCAAGTGTAAAGGTATTTCAGAAAGATTGGGCTTGACATGCTGTTTCTCACCTTCCCAGATGAAGGTTGTTTGTTGCAGAAAGGTGGCTTTAACTTCTAATGAGCTGCAGTTAGTCTATACTCTCCTGACTAATAGCTACCGACAAGTTAGTTGGTTATGTCACCAAGTATATCCTCCATGTGTTAGACTGCTTTTGCAGCCCACCAGGATGTGTTTGAGGGTTGCAAACAAGTGACAGACTGCTGGAGTGAGCAGTACATCATATGTGGGCTGTTTTGTTTTCATATTCCATAGCTCACTACATTTGATTGTTCTTCGTTTTATGCCTTCCCGCATCATTCAGCGGCCTTGTTGAAGTTAGGGGACTGCTGTTGCACATCTAGTTGATTCCTGGCAGTCCCCCTCCTCCACCATCAGATGCCTGCATTACTTGGGTGAGCCTTTTGCAGAGTAGGTGCTGTTCCCAATCCAAATTCTCCTGTAATGTAATTTCTTGTACCAATGACAGGACCTGAGACACTGAATCTTTTTTTTTTTTTTTGATGATGAGCTGTATCCTACCTACCTACATTTTCTGATATGACAGTTAACTTTCCCTAATTTATGTTTGAATTTAGAGTATTCATTTATGATTGGAGGAATAAAGATGGGCTTCCTTTCTAGCTGAACCAAAGAATGTGATGAGTAACACCTGTACGGACCACAGTATGGACTGGGGCCTACACAGGAAGGAGCCTTCACGAATGAAACTCACCAGTATTTCAGTGCAGAGGCAGGTGTCCAGCTCGGGCGGCGCTCTGAATTCAGCTCCTTCCTTCATCTGTTTCTCTATAAGCGTACGGTAGGCTGCTGGGTCATTTTCAGAGAGATCATCCAGCATGGACCACAGTTTGCTCATCTGCTGCAAAACATCCTCTGTACTGCCAGTGGAGCACATGTTAAGGTAACTGTCGTACTTTTATTACCTAGCTAACTCTAGCTAGTTAGCAGAAAAAGTTTGTGCGTCAGAAAACCAGCCGGTCAGCAGTGTTATAGAGGAGCATGTGTTATAGAAACACCTTAAATAGCCGACAAATATGGAGCAGTATCACACAAATATTAATAAAAAAAAACCCTCAACTAATTACGTTGTACATTAGTTGTAATCGCTAACACTAGCTAGGTCAATGTTGTCAGTTGCCATAGAAACATAACACTGTTGCCACCAGGCGGTGAGATGCGGAACCGCGGCTCAGAAACCACACATGACAATAAGAAGCATAATTTATTTTCAATACATGAAAAACATAACGTAAAAATGCATGTTGATGTTTTCAGTCTGTCTTTATGTGTACATTATATAACTGACATGTAAAATAAAAAGTATCATGTATAACTGTAGTTTTCTAACGTTTCCACCAGTTTCATCAGAAGCTTCCTTCTTTTTGTTGTATTTCATGAGCCCTCCTCAGTAATTCTGCAAAAATAAGGAAAGAATTAATATTAGAAATCGCTGTTCTGTTTTACAGTTTCCATCTCAATCCGGCTGAAAATACAAAAAGAAAGAAATTCAAATAGCGGCATGGATGAATCTAATTAGCGCTTTCTGCAGTGTAGTGATGTAAGAATTTATTGTAATATTTTAGATAAGTAAAAGTATTATCCCTGTAAAAAAAAGAAAAAAAAGAAAAAGTATTCCATGATATGTAAATATCCTCCGTTCAAAGAGCTGTTACTAGCAGGGTACTTCTACAAAAACAAATGACCTATTTCACAGGCTTGCTTTGATGCATTTCTTTCTACATGATGTTTTAAAACTGGCAAAAGTGGAGCTAACTTAAAAAAAAAATATATATATATATAATGAAATTATAATTAAGCCGATCATGTGTTTTGCGTGTATTCTTTAACTAATGAGATCAATAAAGAAGTATCGATTAATACTAAACCTCTGTGCTGTCCTGTAAATATTAGTTATTGTCCACTGTAGAATTTAAAAATGCTGTTTACCTCTATCATCTCGTAGATCCAGCCCAAGAATTTGGCCACTTTGGTATAAACTCCAGGATGATTGGGCTCAGCACAGCCTGTTCCCCAGCTGACGACTCCCACCAGCCTCCATACATTGTCATCCTGGCAAACCAGAGGGCCCCCACTGTCCCCCTGGAGAGGTAGACCCAAACACTGTTCACTGCATCTACTCATAAAAGAGAAGCTAAATCTAGTGGTCAAAACAAGCCTCTGACCTGACATGCGTCCACTTTTCCCTCTGTGTAGCCGGCACATAGCATCCGTGCTGTGATCTCTCCATTGTACATGCAGGAGCTGTTACATTTCTTTGTGCTTATTATTGGGACTGGCGCCTCTTTTAGGGTGTCGGGCGAATGAACTACGGGTGAAAGTTTCAATTTAGGACTGCTCCACTAACACACTTGGCTCGCTCTGTCACCATCTGAGTATGGATTAGATTTGTAGCAGAGATGCATTTGTTTAAGAGCAGAGCAGTGTAGTAACATCTTACCCCCGTCGGGTTGTGTGTATCCCCATCCAGAAATCCAGCACTGTGTTCCTCCTGGAAGGTCATAGTCGTACTGAGGCAGGCAGATGGGCCTGATTGTGTCTAGTCAAAAGGAGGAATTTTGCCTCTTAATACATTTAAATAGTTACAAGAGACATTAAGTTGTGCTGCAAATATGGTTGGATTCATAAGTCATGTTAAGGACTGTTATAAAACCACCCTTCACTGAGACATGTGTTTTACCACGTTTAGACTTCAGTGTTTATCACAAGAAAGCTGTTTTCTCTTTAGTCTCTACGCTCATATCAAATCACAGCTGAAAAACAAGAAAGCTTTTATGATAGAGAAGCCAACTGTGGTCCTGTATACAACATAAAGAAAGTTGTCTCCCACTGAGATCAGAGCAAACAAAAAGGTAGCAGCCATACAAACTCACAGAATAACTTAAATATAACTGAATATACATAAAAATGCATCGTGTACAAAAATAGCCCTGCGTCTCTCTCTCTCTGTAATTCGGTTCATTTTTATTTATGTAAATTCAAAACAATAGTCATTTCAAGGCTCCTTATGTTGTAAGGTAAAGAAGAAACAAAATGACAAAGACAGACCTAAAGATCCCTCAGGAGCCGGGAAGGAGAATAAATTTCAATGTCTCAAAACATCTGGAGGCGGTTGTTGCTGAGACCGTAAGCTTATGTGTGAACAGCTGATTCTGTGAGATGTTAAAGATATTGGGAGCCTTTTCATTTGAAGTGTATATCACTTGTTATGATTAGAAAAATTAGCATAGCAATACCACTTATATATGTTTATGATAAATTGTTATTAGCATATAAAAAGGTAAACTGAAGCCAAAGTACTTTTTTTTGTGTGTGTGTGTGTGTGTGGGTTTTTGTAAGAGTGCTGCGATGAGGCTGACCTGAGAAATTGAACGGGGTCCGCAGCTTCATCAGTGCTATATCGCTGTCGTGGGTCCTGTGGTTGTAGTTCTTGTTGTAGATGATCTTCTCCACCGCGTATCCTACATGCTGAGCTGTTTTAGCAGAGCTGCGAGTCACAATGCCAGCATAGACCACCCAGCTGGATATCTGAGGTAGCCTGTAGCTGACATTTGGGAAAAGAAAAGAGAGAGTAGATCCTGATACTGCTACACCGGTACAGCTGTTAATGACTGATTTTTATCCTTCATCGTGGCGCCAACCTCTGACCTTTAGCACTTGTCAGGTCAGCAGTCTTACTTGTGTACACAGTGGGCAGCTGTGACTACCCATTGACTGGTGATGATGGAGCCTCCGCAGGTGTGACGGTTGCTGTAGTAAAGGCTGACCTGCCAGGGCCACCTGCCCAGCGTGGCCTCCACGCCCCCGATTATCCTGGGTAGCTTTGCTCGTGTGCCACACTCTAGAGATCCATTCATCAAAATGAAACGGAATTGGGTTGGTCAGAAAGAGCAGCAGCAGACGCCATCATTCATCCGGCTCCCATATAAAGCTTTTGTACAAAAACACTACTGGCCTTTGTGCGAGGCGCAAACTCAAATTAAAAGTTAAGTTTAATTTGCTCACCAAAACACTGCAAAGCGATAACCTTCCCTGTGATACAACTCCTCCTAAATGAAAATAAATTGGGTAACTAATGATGCATAATTAATGTATTAGCGGACGCAATTTTCCCTGCACCATTATGAGCGTGATGTCCTCTGACAGATTGCCTTACCTGAACTGCCACATATTTTCCAGGCTGCTCTTTTGTTCTGAAGTAATTTGTATGAAGCCGTCAGTGTAGTTTGGCCCGATATCAGTAAGGTTCACTCCTTTATGCTTGGTCAGTCTGGTAAGGGAACATTTGAAAAATGGGTGGGAGTGAGTATTGCGATAATTTAGTCTCATGAGGTGTGAAGCAAGATTGTAAATGAGGTATTAATAGATCATAAATAAGGCGAGCCTTCAACCTAAAATTAAACCAAGTTAGAGAATGGGCTCTCAGCTTTTTTAAATGGTGCTATAAAGAAGCAGCGTGTGATCCTCGCAGACTGCGGAAAAGCATCACCTCAGATAACCCAGCTGTCTGCAGACCAGTGTTCCCAGCGAAGAGTTCCACCTCTCATAGCACACTGGAAGCCAGGTGGGCAGCTTCCCCAGCTGGATCTCCAGGAGGGAGTTCTCGGGACTGATTCTGTAAAACACTGAACCTGATTGATTGAAAATCCCTCCAGAGACAAGCTCTCAGTCAACGTTTATGATCAAGCCTCTTCTATGAGTGGGAAATGATTAGGGAAAACACAAGTATCTATGCTAATGTAGTCAGTAGAAACAGATTATTATGTGTGATGTTTTCATGTCGGTCAATGGGCATCTCTCAGGAGTGAAGAGAAGACAACAAGTAGCAGCTGCTGAATTTTAATTTTTGTTACTATTCAATTAAGAAACACTTCAGAGGTGACCCATGACCTCATATAATGAAGTACATACAATAAGCTAAGCAGCCACACATTAACGTGCCGCATTATAATTCATAAAACAGTGAAAGAAACGCTACCACGAGGGAGTACACACAGACCTTTCCGCGAGTCAGATACGGAAATATCCTCCGTCACATTGCAGAAGGATGTCTCCTTTGTGTCCCCGAGCCCCACTGGACTTTGGGAGGACGATGGCCTCAGCAAAAGTTTGACTAAAAGTGGATTAAAAGAGATAATCTTTTAATTAGGCTGCAAAATGGGCAGCAAAACTTTGTTGATTTTTCCTAATATTACCAGATTATCTGAATGAGAACCCAAAACAGACCAGCGTCTGGGACAGCAATAAAATGTCATTAAATATTGTTCATTTCTATCTGCAAATCCAGCTAATTAGAAAACAGCTAATTTAAAAAAAAAAAGATTCATTTTTCAAAATGCGTTTTCTCTATCTTAACTTGAATGTTGTCGTGTGTTTCCATCAAATTTGAGAGACTTCAATGCAGTGAATAAAAAATCTAAATTGGGGCAGCTGAGCCCAACATTGCCCTGATTTTTAGCTGGTGATTATAGTAAGGCTCCAAAAACACAAACCATTTAATGAATAATCAATTTTTCATGTTGTCCATTAAAATTGTTTGACAGCCCATTTAAAAAAAAAAGTATCAGTTTACTTACACCAGAAGTCTGAATCAGGGAAATATCATTTCAATGCAATGATTTGCCAAACAATAAAAATGTGTGCTTAATTACTAGCTGTACAAAGACATGTGAAAAGTTTCTATTTTCCTAAAATATATTCTCACTTGATTTTAAAAGTTCTGATGAGAGCAACAAAACCCTGGAAAGGTTGTGTAAGACTAGATGAGAAAAAAAACCTCGAGAGGAAGATCTCACAGCTGATTAGTTTAATGAGTAACATGATTGGGGATAAAAGAGCATTCCAGAGAGGCTGACTCTTTCAGAAGAAGAGAGACGGGTTCTCAACTCTGTGGGCAAATAGTTCAACAACTTCAGTTTAATGATTCTCAGTCTAAAACTGCAAAGGATCTGCTGCACATAATATCATTAAAAGATTCAGAGAATCTAAATAAATGTATGGAAAAGGGTTAAACAAAAACAATCTTGAGTTGCTTGAACTGCATTAAAAGCTGGTTAAAATAAAAATCAGTGAATGGGCTCAGTAACACTCAGGTATCCGCAAGTACAAGCTAAAAGATGAAGA